TGTTTTTGCTGTTGTTGTTGTTGCTGTTGTTGTTGTTGTTGTTGTTGTTGTTGTTGTTGTTGTTGTTGTTGTTGTTGTTGCTGTTGTTGCTGTTGTTGTTGTTGTTGTTGTTGTTGTTGTTGTTGTTGTTATTGTTGCTGCTGCTGTTGTACGTTGTTGTTGCTGTTGTTGTTGTTGTTGTGGTTGTTGTTGTTGTTGTTGCTGCTGTTGTGGTTGTTGTTGTTGTTGTCTTAACCTTTCTTTAAATTCAGATATGTTTCTGTGGCATGCAATGAACTCAAAGCAGAAAAATTGTGCGTCGTATCAGACATATTAAAACAACACAGCCTACTGGCTAAGATCGAGAGCGGTTCAATGGCCTCAGGGCCCGTGCGCGACCTCCGTATAAATGGTAATATCAATATAAAGAACTTACTGTCGAAGAAAAAAGACGAACTAAGATATCTTCAATTGATGGCGACAATTAGGTAACAAAATATTTGATAAATAAGGCACGGTATTTGAAAAAATGCACGAGGAGTAATGTTGCAGAGGCCGTGTTGCAGTAGTGTTGTGGAAAAATGCTTCCCGCAAGGCATGCTTTTTCCTTACATGTATGATGTATTGTCGCATCATGGTATTTTCGATCCCCTCAAAAGGCTCTGTGTACTCAAGCAGGGCCTCTCAGGGCCCCCAGTTAAAGGGGGCCCCAAAATTTGCAAAAGGGCGGCACAAAAGGTGTAATTAAAAAAATTTATTTGGAACGTTTTTTATATAAATAATGGTGTGAAAAAATTTTTAGACTTTAATTTTACTGGTATTGTCCGAAAAAATGTGTTTTACCCGTGTTTTTGCATTTGTGCGAAAAAAATTTTTTGAACCTTGACGGCACTTGTCTTTGCCCGGAAAAATATTTTGAACCTTTATTTTTGGTTATGTCCGGAAAAAATCTCCCCCCCCCTTCTTTCTCTGAGAGGCCCCCGTTTTTGGCGGTGTTCCCCCAGAATTTCGCGCAGTCCCTTGCAACTGCTTATCGATAGCAAAAACTTGCTTATAGTAAACGAAACTAGAGTTCATTATTCCATAATAAATGTCCTGCATGAATTCATTTGTGGGTTTATTACTACAGTAAGAAACGTTGGTCAAAACGGAAACTTTCATTCACATATGATGTTCATTAAGAATTTGTTAAGTCATTTGGAAACAAAGTTTTTATCTTAAAAACTTTGTTTCCAAATGACTTAACAAATTCTTAATGAACATCCCAGCTTTATTTTGCCGCAGATCAGTGGACGAAAATGTGCAAACATCATTTGCAGCAATTGCAGATTATTTCCAAACTCTGGCAAAATTTGATCAAGACATAGCGCAACAAGATGTGGGATACATTGATGGGAAACTGGCAGAATTTCGAACAAATACAACGTCTGTTCAAAGCAAATTAAAAGGTGACGTTGACAAACTTATGGGGATAGTCCAAGCTGCCCTTGTAGTGAATCTGATAAGGGAGATCACACGACTGGCAATGGTGGTTGCTGAAAATTCTAACCCTTTTAAGGTATATAATATCTGATTTAACAAATTTATTTGGATCAATAATACTGTACATACAATATATTATCAATACAGTTACATACGAATTAATAACTTGAAGATCCAAAAAGGCAAGGTACGAACGGGACACTTGAAAAAAAAACATGCAAGGCACCTGCCAAGAATTTAGATTTTGTGTACTTATAAATGTTACACATACTACTATATATATTAAAAATTCTTAAATGGAAGACATGTAGAAAAACAAATAAGACAGATATAGACATACAAACAGGCAGCTATGTCCTGTGGCAAGGACAGTCACGTGCCAAGGACCACGTACAGGACAAATCATCATCATAGACTGTCTGAAGAAGATGAGAATAGTTACGCTCAAGAAAGGTTGTAAAAGTAATGGGACTGGAGAAAGTGTCTGAATCATCATCTTTCGATCTATTTATGGGAAACATGACTGGCAGATCTGTTAGCTACGGTCTCTGAACAACCATTTTGCCATTAACACCCTGATTAATTTTATTTTATTTAAGCTGATGTTCGCCGGTGTTGATGTCGATGCGATATTTGAACGGACACGTGCTGTCGCTGATGCAGCTGCAACGGTAGCAACTGGTGCCAAACTGATTAAGGCAGTCAAAGATCTTGCAACAGGTATCTTAAATACAGTAGAACGAGCTAACTCGAACTCCTCGCTAACACGAACTAAGTCCAATTTCCCCTGGTCTCTGGATTTGACGCAATTTTTTTCAGTAATTTACTCCTGTTAATTGGGGATGATTTGAGTGTCAGTGTGCTTTTAAGTCTGTTTTCTGTATGGTCGTAAGTTCGTAACGGTCGTAAAGATTGAGTCACAATTTTTCTCAACAGCTGAAATACAACAGTTTAACACTGATAATAGGCAGGAAACCAGGGTACCTGCACGGGAAACCTGCGATGTTTGGTTGATTAATGTGAAAGCACTCTTCTCACATTTGACTCGAGCAAAATAATCAGACAACCGCATATTATCATCAGCCGTGCGTGTCAGGCTTATTGATCAACTTTACATCCTTTTTACCAAAGATTCTTTAAACCTGATACGAAAATTCCAAAAAAATCGGCAACAACTAGACAGCCTCATGAAACTCGTCAATGCCATCACGAAAGGCTTGCCAGAGAAAATTAAAGAGCATGCAGATAAATTTGTCGAACAATACGGGGCTTATACACCGAAGGTTAGTAAGAAGCAGGGCGCTTATATATGAATTGAATTGATTTAATGATTATTGACTTTGTAACCCAAAAGGTTAAATTACACCAGTTTAATTAAAGAGAAGTTAAAATTACATAATTATTACATATTTAAGAGTCATGTTTCGCTCGCTACTCTGGTTTAAATAAATGATTACAAAGCCCAGTCGAATTGTAATCAAGACCCAACGTTTCGACACTCCAGTCTAGTGT